GGAGACAGCCATGTAGCTTGGTGGATGTTCTTATGCTGGAACCTAGTACTACATATTACCATATTTCGGGCCCCGGCGAAGTCGATCAGCCTCAGTCCGTTATCGGACGTTTCGTCGTGGAGGCTGAATTTTCCGACAGTGGCGCCAAAGATCCCTTCCTTGCCCATCTTGGCATTAAAATCGCCAAGCACGATTTTGACATCGTGTCGGGGGCAGCGCTCATATGTACGTTCCAAGCGCTCATAGAAGAGATCCTTGGACGCCTCATCCTTCTCTTCCGTCGGGGCATGGGCGCAGATGAGCGAGATGTTGAAGAATCTAGCTTTGATGCGAATTGTGGCTAGACGTTCGTCCACCGGGGTGAACCATACCCTTAAATCATAGTCCTTTATACGTTTGCCGTGGTCGTCATCAGAAAAAGGGGGTCTCATCCGAGGCTTGTTGGAATTTTTCATTGGGCGGGGTTTTAACGTGGCGGGACCCAAACCCAGCGCACGCGAAGTTTTACGCCTTCTCACTTTAGCTCGCTCCCAAACGGGTGTTTGGTTGCTACCCAGAGGATACGTGGATATAAATATCCGGACGTTGTGAGCTGCGATTTGAACCGTACGCACAAGAATCGCTTCTGGCCACTCCCAGGTGAATGGCAGTCAAAAGTTTTCCACTTCTGCGCACGGAACCATCCTCCAACTTTGTACACTTACCGATTTATGAACACATTATACAAGTGTAGAACAGCCCGTTTCTATCGATAAATAATGCCGATTTTGTATCTACCGAAAAATGCAACCTTTTCCTTGCCCTTTACGCACAAACACTAAGAAGAAGGCAATGAGAAAGCAATATTTTTTTGAAACGAAATCGCCATAAGTATGCCAGCGGAAAAATGTATTAATTTTTTCTTGAGCTTCCTTTCAGATACTAAATTTCGAATACTTATAACCCTGGTTCTATTAGAGGCACACATTCAGCTCTGGGGTAGTTTCCAAGAGTATGTTATATAGAATATATTACGTTAAACCCATTTTCAAATACGAAACGGTAAAACAAATATGGTACGCGGAAAAACAGGAAAACTTAGTTAAATTTGAATAATCCAGAATCACTGATGTATTAGCTAGTTGTGGGATTAGAGCGAGCGGGTATTGTTTCAGATCGGATAAAACACTACAGTAACTCTTATATATTTTCTTCTGAAAAATACCCAACAGATATAGCGATTTGGACCATATACTTACGAAACTATGCATAATCACCGAAATCAAAAGTTCCTGGTTGTGCAATAAAATAAAGTTGAATGTAAAAGATGAAACTTCTTTAAAGACTTTATCATTTTTTCGGAAATATTACCAAGAAAAAAAAGCAGGGACGTGAACCGCATGAGAACTTTGGTCGGTTCGGTTCAGCGGTTACAACCCTTTTTTCACTTTTGGGTTGGTCCGTCAAAGCGGTTGTTTTAGTCTTTGAACCGGGGTTTCGGTTCGGTTCAACGGTTTCGGAAAAAAAAATAACGCGCAAGTTTAAGTGTCAAGTGTCTGTCAAATGGGATGGGTTATTATATTACCACATGGTAAACAAACATGATATGGATTACCATATTTAACAAAAAGAAAAAAGTGGATAATTTTATGTATTGGAATTTGGTTAAAGCGAACCTTTAAACCTTTATGAAAAGTGGTTCGGTTTTCAGTTCGGATCAAACATTTGGGGGAACTTTCGACAGGAAAATATTGATTTTAAAGAACTCTTTACCATTTCGACGAAAAGTTGTTTTTTTTCCATATAAAACACATGGAAAACTTTGAGCGCTTTGAGCGACCTCTAAATATTTTTTGATCTCAAAATAAAAAATAGGGGTATAACGTTTTTCGGTATAGAACAATCCTAGGGGGTGAGATCATTAAAATTCCGACGTACCCTTTTTGGACCACCCTAGTGTTAGTCTGTGTTCTTACACGATATGTATTTCCATGTTTGTACATTAGGGTGGTCCAAAAATGCACGTGAAAAGTAAAGTCGGAATTTTTATGCTCTCACCCCCTAGCATTGTTCTATACCGAAAAAAATATACCCGTTTTTTTATTTTGAAATCAAGAAATATTTAGAGGTCGCTCAAAGCGCCCAAAGTTTTCCATGTATTTTATATGGGGGAAAAAACAACTTTTCATAGAAATGGTATAGAATTCTTAAAAAGCAATATTTTTCTATCGGAAAGAGTGAAGAGCAACAGTCGAATTGCATTTTTTCTTCGTACTGCTGTCGCTTTACTGCCGCGCTGGTACTATCTCGGCAGCAAATCGACAGTCCAGCTTCGTTTTTTTGTTCCCAGCCAGCAAAGAAACGTAAATTTTGCCGACAGTGCAGTTTAGTTAAATTTTCCGTATCCGAAAACGCATAGAAAAAACTCCTACAGAAGGTGCCGGGTTCGAATTCCGTCAGGCTCTTCCTAATTTTATTTTATTTCTTTTGAACCATGAAAAAGTATCTGTGAAGTGCAGAAGGAAAGTCTATTGAACGAAAAATTCAATCAGACAAATTTCAGAAAAAACAGCCGAAAACGTATCTGTTTCACAAACAATTTTTGTTTCTGCCGTACACTTTAGTGGGAAAACGGATCGTCAGAGTATCCGAAAATTGAATCAGTAAACGGACAAAAATTCGCACTTCATCCACTTTTTTGTCCATTTTCGGATCGGTTTTCGGATTTTTGGCTGGCTGGGTTTTTACTTTCGCTTTGCTGTTGGTTTTGTAAATTCTCACAGCCACAGCAAAGTCGAAGGAAATGAAATAAAAAAATGAAAGCACTTTCAAACGCTGGTTTTATGTCTTTTGGTGACTTTTCGGTGATCTCAGCAAAATCGCATTTTAAGGTCAAAACTTTATACAGCATGCTATTTTTGTATTTTTTTTTTCGGCCATTGTTAGAAATATTTTTTCGATATTAAGTAGGAATGATTTGGAAAAAAGTAGAAAAAAATAGTTGTACAGAGTTGTGCAGATAGAAACTGTCATATTTAGAACATATAGGGCCACAGCTATGATATATATAAAATGTAGACTGGGGACAGGTAGGGAAATACTACTTTCACACTAATAAATGCAAATAGTTGCAAAAAAAATTTCGAAATTCGAGATTTTGACATTTCTTCTTCACTAATAAATATTAGTTGCGTTCCCTTACTCGCAAGAAGTTGCAAGAATTTACCAGAAAGCGTTCCCGTACTCGGTTCTCTAGCTTCTTTTGTTTTTTGACAGTTTTACAGGTTTTATCCCAGAAAATTTGGGGAACGCAACTAGTGATAAATACAATCAGCCCGATTCTGAATAGAAGCTCCCTAGGAATTTTTCCTCATTTCTCTTTCCTCCTATCATGAATGAAAATTCCCTGAGGATTTTTCCTCTTTTCCCTATTCTCCTATTCTAAACGACCTTCCAAGAAGGGAAAATGTATTTCGGGAAAAAAGTAGGTATTACGAATGTCAAAAAGGAGGAGAATTGATTTCGTTTTTCTGGGAGAATTTTCACCGGTATTTTAAAAGGGAACTGCTACAAAAATGTAAGTTAATTACAATTAAAATGAAATTTGGTGTAATAAAACGTTTAAACCTTTCATTTTAGGTCCAAAACAACAAATGAGAAACAGGTAGAAATCTTAATAAGCCAGGTTATTTTGGTTTATTACATGAAAACGCGCGATTGAAATCAAAATATTTCAACTCACGTGTGTAGTTAAAAGACAAAATTTTAATTTAGCACTAATATTTAAATATCCGGAGCACTAGTTTATTAAGAATGCGGCTTCCAAAATTCACAGTGGCAACTGGACCTAGCAAAGGGTACCCTTTGGTATTTGCACACTTATTTTGGTTTATTACATGGAAACGCACGATTGAAATCAAAATATTTCAACTCACATGTGTAGTTAAAAGAGCACTAGTTTATTAATAATGTGGCTTCCAAAACTCATAGTGGCAACTGGACACGCGAGCTAAATTAAAATCTTTCAACTTACCCGTGTAGTTAAAGTTAGTTGAGCTTTAATTTAAAACACAGATTTGAAATTTCCGCGCACTAATTTATTTACAACTTTAATCTGAAATACTCTTTTATGTGAAACACACTTTTATGTGTAAAACACGCAAATTAAATGGCGGGAGTTGAGCTGTCAAAAAACTGTCAAACAGCTCTTCGAAAGTTCGAATTTCCAACTCACAAATTTTCTGGAGAAAATGCTGCTCCCTGGCAGTTTCGAGTACAAGGCTTTTATTCTCGAGAAAAGTGAAATCCGCGAGAAATGAAATCCTCGGGAATATTCAGAATTGGGCTGAATATGATATAGAAAATGAATGGTACTTACCTTTGGCTTGCAAATCCATCCCAAAGGTAAAGTAAACATACCTCTATAAAAAATGGCATGCAAAATAGCAATAAGTTCACATCATGAAATTAAACAACACGCGTGAGCGTTTTTCTTACAATAATAATTAATTATTTATCCTTGAACAATAATCATGCAAAAATTTTATCTAATTCATTAGAATGAGAATATTGGATGTCATTTTCAATATCTATAATACAAAAATCCAATGTCGACTATTGTCGACCAACCAACTAGAATTCCGAAAAAAAATTGAAATAAGTTATTGGTTTTCATCCAGGAACGAAAATATACCAATTATTAAATAAGAACCCGTAAATGTTTGTTTTGTTACACAAATTAATGCATGAGATTTTTATTTTTTTCAAAAATTCGTTTCACCATTCTTTCTCACTTACTATATGTTTGTATATGTATGAATATAATTAGTACAATACATTACTCCTGTTCAGTTTGAAAGGATGATAACCACATTCAATACATACATACATGCGTACTTACATATACATATGTATACTAGGTATTTATAAATATTTTAATGGCATTTATAATGCATTTACGAGTATGTTTAGTCTAGAAAACAAATACATGTATGCATTACATAAAAGTATAAGTATTTAAATATAAGTATAATTTTTGCAGAGGTTTAAACTATGCCACTTTATTATTTAGTAAATGTATACTTTCGTAAATTTTGTTATACATATGAGTATAGATACTCGTAAGTATGTAGTTCTTTCAAATAAAGTGTAACTTTTTTTAAAATAAAAAATAGTCCAGGGTTCTATCATAAATTGATACTTATTCTAATACGATTACAACTACAGCTCAGTGTTATATGACTTTAATGTATAAACCTAAAATACTATTTACACTTGGTGCTCTTATCCAGCAATTTCTTCCAAAGATCAAATTGTTCATTTGACTTGACCATATGTACACTGATTAATTTGCGTATATTGCATGGATTGAAAGCAATTCGCCGATTAAGGAACTCATTGGCATGTACGCGCTTGATGCCAAGCTGTTGCGCAACAATCCCTGTAGTAAAGACGTCCTCCAATTTCAAGTAGACCTGCAGGAAAAGAAAAATATGAACAAAAATGCTTTTTTAAGTCAAAAAATCCAACGCCACGCACCTGATGAAGACATTTTTCATACAACATATGTATGACATCACTTGTTAAGAGATACGCTGGACCGGTGGTGAATGGGGGAAATAGTGGCTGACTGAATTGATCAGTTGACACGTAGTATTTTGATTTTTTATTCCTTATGGGTTTCCATTGCTTCGCCAAGCGTCCGTATATGACACGCTTGTTTTTAGAATGGCCATCTATGAATTGTAGTAGCTTCGGCACATTAATGAACATATCGTCATCCGTTTTCAATATAAATTTGGCATGCTGACAGTGCAGATCAACCCACTCTAATGTGGAAATGGTTTTCAGTGTTAAATTGGTATACGAGTCGATAAAGTTGCCACGAATCACATCACCATAAATGAAATTCTCAATGCTCAGTTCCTTGCTTACGCTCTCATTTGTCGTACGGCCCAAGACAAACGCTATGGATACATCCCGACGAGTACCATAGTGTGCCCAGGTCTGTCGTATGGCAAGACGTGCTTCTGCGTGATTTACCGCGGACGAGATAAGTATCAGCAGCTTTAAATCGTCACCTTGATTTGGACAAATCTTTGCAAAATTTATTTCCTCATTCAAGTGTCCCGACTCATATATTTCACTCGTAGGTATACCTTTGGTGTGGTCGGTATTGTTGCGTGGTACGGGATGGCTGGCAGGTTGCACTTTGGGTATTGCCTTAGGTTTATTTATGGTCACTTTTGTTTCTACTTTTTTCACCACTCGATTTTCATTTGAATGTTGTTGTACAGCACTGGCACTTCCAGGACGTTTAATAGTCATCACTACGGATGGAGGCAGTGCACCATCGTCGTTCGCTTCTTCCTCATCGGTACCAATGTCCTCTACCTTCGCGGCCTTAACAATAGTATTTTCTTCAGTTAACTGCTTGCTGCCTTTCGAATCCTTAGAAGACACTGCGATTTAAAATAAAATTTGTTTAAATATTTTGGACTTAAGAATATTTAAAATAAACACAAACTCACGTTTTTCATTTGCCGTTGGCAATGCTGTGATGTTTCTTAATATTTTATCTGCATTTTCGATGAATTTTTGTAAATTAGATGTAGGTACCATTACATCAGAGTCCAATATTTTATTCAGATTGTTAACGTTATCACTGGATTTGCCGTTAGTTAATTTCAGTTGGTCTAGTTGCACTTGTGACTGTGATTTTAAAGGATCCTGCTGAGCGCCGTTATTTGCGCTTGAAGCATTGGGATAGCTTATGCTGCCGACAACTGAAATTGAAAAGATACATATGTACATATGTATACATTAGTAAATACGTACCTAATTACTGAAAGTATTGAGACAAATGTTTAAAAAATTCTATACAAATTTTAAAATAAAAAATTAAATTAAATTTCGGCGCCTACAACTTTGTTAAGTGCATGGCCGAGCTTCTTTTCCAACTTTTTTTGTGTGCATACTGATCTTATGACCTACAATGTTATGCCACCTACGAACGGCAATTGGTCTTATGAGAAGCTTTTTCAAGGCAGAAATACACTCGGAGGTGCGCCATTGCCAGCCGAGGACTGACGAGTGGTAGTAGGTCGAGCGTTTGTTTTAAAAAATCGTACGAAAGTTTACTGAGTTATTAAACTTTTGATGAAAACAAATTTTTTTCAAAAATATTATTTATGGCAATACAACTCAACAATTTTTGCTTGATAGTTCTTTTTTTAATTTGCCGTTTTCTATGATCTCAAAGTATGGCCATCTCGAGAGCCGCATTAAATAGGCAGGCAAACGTTTTAAAAGTCCCATTGGTTAAAGCTGAAAATGTTGCCCTACCACCACTGCATTTAAAGCTAGGATATATGAAACTATAGGGGTATTCTCACAGTCTTGCAAAGCCCTTGCACGGTGCACGAATTGCACGATTTGCAAAGCTGTCCCATAGGAAACCCGGTTTTTTTTTGTGCAATCCATGCACCGATCCCAAAATTAAGTGAAGCCAAAATAAAATGAGGTTTCTAATTTTTTATTCTCTCATCTAGTACTTTTTCATCTGTTTTATCTCTTTTATGAATTTTAGGTATTTTCATAGGACCTCAAATTCGTAAAATTATGAGCGTGTTCAAAAAGCTCATAAGCTCTGTAGAAAAACGTGCATGGAAGTGTTTTGTAGCCCTATCCAATAATTTCTTAGGAAACCACAGAAGCGACGACTATGTCACGGTTGTTAACGAATTTTTGAATGCTTACGGTGGAATGGGTTTTAACATGTCCATAAAAATGCATTTCCTTTATTCGCATTTGGACTTATTCCCACATAATTTGAGCCAGTTCAGTGATGAACAAGGCGAACACTTTCACCAAGAAATAGCTACAATTAAAAAACGCTGCGGTGGGAAAAATAAAATAATAATAATAGCTCCATTCTTCTGCAGCCGAGCTACAAAAGAACACCCGTTTAAATGACGAAATACACGCAAAGCAACAACACAAACTCGGCTATTTATACGAGTTCAGCCAGGTCGGTTAAAACATTCGCGACCTGAAGGTAGTGTTGTTAAGTGAAAAAACTGCTCTATTGTGAATTGTTAATGGTAAAGTGGAGAGGGTAATTTTTGCTTTCGTATATACATGATTTATATTTTAAATAAGTATATATATTACGCAAATACCTCGCATAATTACAAATTTCTATTGTTTTTACCTTCCTTTTATTAACTCGGGATGTAACTATGTAATATTCATGCGCCTAAAAGATGCAGCGATTCCTATTCTTAAACTATAATTTTATTTATTTGTGTCTAAATCCCGATGAACTAACACATGTTTCTTGCCAGCTACCAGCAGGGTTGCTTGAAGGAAATTTTACCCGAGTTGAGCGTTCTTTTGTCGCTCACTTACAAAAATATGCAGCTAATAATAAGGCCAAGTTTGGGGGAAATTGGTGGAGCGGTTACCGAGATATACAGATGTAATCACAAGTGGGCGTGGCTACGCCTATTTTCCAAACATTTATAATATTCTTATTTTTCGTCTAAAACTTATTGTAATTATCAATTTTGAGTGAGTTACTAAAATATCGCAGTATCGTATTTCTGAAAACTACCGTTATATGTGAGGTAGGCGTGGTTATTGTCCGATTTTGCCCTTTTTCAATACCGTCCGTCCTACGCTGAAAAGAAGTACACATACCAAGTCTCGTTAAGATATCTCAATTTTTAATCGAGTTATCGTGTGCACAGACGGACGGACGGACAGACAGACACCGCTTAATCGATTCCTTTTTAGCGCCCTTTTATTAGCTCGGGATGTAACTATGTAATATTGATGCGCCTAAAAGATGCAGCGATTTATAGTCTCAAGTTACATACCTGATGACAGTACGAATGGAAATTATAATAGCGAGGTTTTAGTTTTTTAAACTAAAATTTTTTTTTTCATTATGATCATTTATGTATACATTTGTCTATACCTATCTCGATTCGTTTTGGCTGTTACAAACAACCGTTATGTGAACAAAGTGCACAATAACACCTGGGTATAAAAATGATTTCAGAAAATTCTAGAACGAGAAACTGATGACGCTGAATTAAGAAAAAGACAGTCAAGAAAACATTTTTGAGTAGTATAGTCAAAAATAATATTTTTGCAAAAATTTCGTTTTCATAAAAAGTTTTATAACTCAGTAAACTTTCATCCGATTTTTGAAAATAAACAGTAGTTTTCCTCGTTATTAAATTTGGTTTTACAATCAGTTTAGGACTAGTATGGTTTTCTTATAACATAGTTCGTAAAAACCTCAACGAAATTTAAAAAAGGCGAAAAAAGTAAAAAAAATGTGTTTGCTGGGTAAATACTAAAGATCTGCATCGGAATGCAGTTTGCTTCCTTGGGAACTTTTCTTCAAATATTTAAACTACTCATACTCTAACAAAAAGGGTATGGAAGGAAGAGAAGTGAAGATATAGAGCGCTGTATACATAAAAAAAGTACTCAAACAAATTATGTTCCGAAAAAAAGAGGAACATAAATCAGCAGTACCATGCTGTCAAACTTCCACAAAAAAAGATGTTCCTTCACAAGTATTTTTTGAGTATTTTTGGAAGTTTTCGTTCAATGCTACATAATGTTAGAGCTGACTCTTATGTTAAACTAGCAAATGCCCGCTTGCTTCGCGGCGCCTAATAAGATCTTTTGCGTTAGCCAATTCAAAAATAGCGTTTAGAAGCAAAAGCAGTCTGTAAAGTAAACATTTTTAGTTTAAATTGAAACGACTAAAAAACGGAATCCTCCTCACGCATATACCAAGAATAGTAGCGTTGTGATTCCATACTGCATACTAATCCCTTTCCATGTAATGCGTTTTACCTATGGTCTTATTTCCACCTACGAGATCTCTGCCAAGCGTGCGTAATATTCTTCTATGATCCTGCAACTTCAGCATTGGTCCAGTCCTTATACGGAAACTCAAGAGCACAGATGAGCGTTTTCAATTATAGGAGGGCCAAGAATCCTCAGGATGAAAAGTTAAATGAGTACTGTGATCTCATGAATATCGTTCAAATAAAGCCATTCATATAACTATCGTGTTCCTTCTTGGACAGATGTGGTCGAATCTTTCCTTGTCAATTCGCCACTGTTACAATAACGGCCGCCTCGAGCAACTTCGTCAATCTGATTTAGATGCAAAATCACGCTTACACAGTCTTACGGTCTTTATATGCATACTTAAACGCATCCTTGATTTAGCCAACTGAAAAGTAAATTCGCCTAAGATAAACATAGCGCCAAAGCAGAACAAACCCCGCGGGGGTTTCTATATATTTCGGGTGCAGCGTCATCCATCGGGTCCCTTTTCTGCAAAACCTTTGCTTGTCATGAAATGAATACGAATTATGAATTCCAATCAGATTTTATAAAAAATACGGATTTTCTAAATACTTAAACTCCAGCGGTCCATTTTTAGCAAAGGAGTTTTTCATCATACAGGTAGTCACGCTGCGAATTTGAACGAAATCTGTTAATAAATACGACTTTTATAAGTAACTCCACTCAAGCGCCACCAGCGTGTTTTCTAGTAGCCTATAATAGGACAATATATGTAAGGTATAACCTCAGACAATTTGACTGGGCTCTATTGAGTGGTTTTTGAGTTTAGTCCGAAAAACAGAAATGGCTATCATTTTATGTATGTAATCTTCCTTATCCTGAGTTTCGCCGGAAAAAAAATTCACGCGAAAATTTTGATTACCCCCATAGTAAGTACATGGAAACCAAAAGCGAAAACTGAACCGGTTCAGGGAAGATGAGACTCATGATAGGGCTGAATATGTTTCGAATGAAAAAAAAAACATCATGAAAGTAAAAAACGTCTCGAATGTGTATTAACAAAATAGGTTCATAAATACGGCTTTTATAAATAACTCGACTCCAGCACCACCTAGCGGGTCCGTTTTTCGCAAGTGCTTTTTTCATCATGCTTACGAAATCGGTTCATAAATACAACTTTTATAAATAACTCGCCTCCCGCGCCACCTAGCGGCTCCGTTTTTGGTAAACGTATTTGCCATCATGCTGGTAGCTTACATTTTGAATTTAAAAGAAATCGGTTCATAAATACGATTTTTATAAATAACTCGACCCCAGCGCCACCTACCGAGTTTTCTGGTAGCCTATAATAGGACCATATATGCAAGGTATAACCTCTGAAAATTTGACTGAAATCTATGCAGTAGTTTTTGAGTTAACTCCGAACAACGAAAACGGCTATTATTTTATATATATAGATAACAAACATCGAGAAACAATGTAGCCAACAGCATATTTTTATAAAGAAAGTAAACTCATTTTATACAAAGAACCAATTTTTAATTTTACAATACGATATTTTCATTTCCCATACTCTCATACATATGCAGTAGCAAGCTTCCCTGCCAGCATTTTCTATTGCGGAAGTTACTAATTCGACACGACATTTCTGTGAAAATCATCGCCGATGTTATCGCTATTTTTTCGAATTCTTATCCGCTCTCGGGAAGAACTGTTCCACCACGTCTTTATGACACGAAAGCGATACAGCAATTAGATCCCATTTCAAAAGGAATGACAGTAACTTGTGCGATAAAGACTGAAGTGGTAAAGAAGACTCTACTGTTGGTTAAATTTTTGATACAACTTAATACGTAATTTGGGGTACCTCTGAGCTTGCAACCACAGCCGCAGAGATACTTACGCAATTTTCATCCTGCTTTCGGCTTAGATTGCTAGCTCAAACGCAGTTATATTTTTTTTTGAAATTCCAACTAAACATTTTATAAAGC